TATCACTTCTTGCCCCTGACAGAAAACAGCTGCAGCCATGGCTGTACATGACCCACAACATGATCTTTACTCCACCATCTCTCCAAGACAAAACCAAGGAAGCTCTATGGAATGAAAGATGTTTGCAAACACCGCTGGCACATATTGTTTGTAATAAAAAGTAAAACTGATCTCCAGTCCTGAAGAAAGTAAATGTACATGTTTCTAATCAGAGTGATAGAAAAAGGTGAATTTGCTGTTGAAAATAAATTTCCAGGTGGATATTCTAGAAGCTAGAGAGAGAAAGTGGGCAGACAGATAATAATCTGGTTGTCATGAGCAGACCTTTGGACACAAACGAATGTTCAGTTAAGTACAGGATGAGCTATGCCACATATTTCAGTGTCTGAAATGGTAGAGAGCAGTAACATTCCCAGCCTGCCCAAGATAAGTGTCTTTCTAGCAAGGACGCTGGAAATAAAATGTTGGAGAGCAGCCTGGGGGATTCAGGCCAGCAAGACAAGTTCTGACCTGAACTCGAAAAAGAGACATTTATTTAGGGCACTGTGCTTGTAAGAGCTACACAATAGCTTCAAAACTTAGTTTAAGAAAACAAAGTAAATCAACATAGACTGCTGGGAAGAAATGTTGATTAAGGACATTGTTTACAGGAGCACAAAAAGATGAATAGCTACTAATAAATGTTGGGACTTTGCTCAAAGGCATCTGGGGAATTTATGAAGATGATAAGGACTGGCTTAAGATAGAATAATGTGGTTTAATATAAAAAAGACTGGTAAACCAAATGATCAACCTTTCCCATAATATCCCGAGGACCTGTTGTTCTAAGCAACACCAGTTAATGACACTACCATTAACAATTTGGGGAAACTGAAGGACGGGGCTGTTTGGAGATAAGGACAAATGAAGAGTTGTTACTGTGTAAGTGCCTCTAATAACAAGAAGCATCATATTCTTTGAGGGAGTCAATGAGTTTTAGCATAGTCTGATTGAAACAACATGATAATGTTTTCTTAAAAAAAGAATTTGTTGAAATTCTCTGCCTAAAGCTCTTGAGAGAAAATAAGCTGACACAAGATTAACAGGCACATTCTTTGATATATTAATAAATTGTTAATTATTAGTTATTATTACTAGATTAATAAAATAGATTAAATTAAGGACAAGAAAAATGTTCTATTTTGTTACAATACAGGGAGGTCATTGGTAGTGCACCACAGGGACCTGTGTTGTTCAGCATATTCTTAAATGATCTGGAAAAAAGAGTGATTATCGAGGCAACCAAGTTTGCTGATGATGCTGAATTATTCATGGTAATAAAAACAAAAGCTGACCGTGAAGAATTGTGGAAAGCTCTCATGATACTGTGTGACTGAATGATAAAATGGCAAGTTAAATTCTGTGCTGAAAAATGGAAGTAATATGTGAGAGAGAAAACAAGCCAAAATATAAGTGCAAAATCCTGGAATCTAAATAAATGGCTTTCACACAGCAGAGAGAGCTTGAGTTGTGGGGGGTTCTGTGAAAACACCAGCTCATGGCTCAGTAGGATTCAAACATGCAAATGAGATTGGTGTTATAAGAAAGAAAAATAATATAAAACCAAAAAGCATTTATTATGCACCTATATAAAGCCATTGAGTGTGTAACTTGAATAATGAAAACTATTATGGCCTTCTAGAATAGGATTATGAAAGGTATTAAAAAAACCAAAACAAATCATTGAAAACTGGGAATGACGTCTAACAGAGGAAACATGGAATTTATTACAACCCCTGAAAGATAACTGGAGACAGCATGATGGAGGTATATGCATTCAAGAACAGCAAGAATAGATACACAGAAAAAAATATCCATCTGTTTCTTTAAAAAAGGAGAACTAGTGGACATCAAAGGAAATTATCAGACAGTGGGCTTGACACAACCCAAAGAAAATATTTTTCAGACAGTAATTTCCTAAAGCACAAGACTTGTTGCCCTAGAATGCTGCAGATGTCAAAAAGTGCTCAGGCAAACCCTTGGACAAGCTGTTCTCTGAGAGGGCAGACGCTGTTTTATCCCCAGCAACTCCAGAGACTCAGTCTGGGACAATGTACAGCAGAAAATATCTTTGTGTGCTTTCTAAGTCCTACAATCTTCTATGAAGCAAACATCATTAACTACTCACACTGCTACTGAACTACACAGATGGTTATTTATTAGCTGTTCTTGAAATAAAAAGGAAACAACCGATCAAAGCGAAACATCTAAGTGTATCAATGATCAAAGGAAATTATTTAGGAAAACAAGATATTGCTGCAGCAGTAAGATTACTGTGACTTTAAGGGTATGGAACTTTGAACGGCTGATAATAATATCTGCACTTAAATTTTAGTTAGAATAAAATGGATAGTGTATATAAGCCCATGTGCTTTGTAATGTAACAACTGAATGTGGAGGGCTTTGCTCGAGGTGTTTTTCTTAATGGTTGTCTCTCACTGGACGTTTCAGCTGCCTTCTGAAACATCTGATGCAGGACTTCAGCAGAAAGTTGACAGCTCTTAAGGACAAGAGGGTGTTTTTTGGGAACAATTTTTTTTCTGACTTGAGAAAGACAAAGCAAAAACACACTCTAGCAACAGAGAAAAGAGAGAACCAGATAAACAGATGATGCTATCACTGTGTTCCAAATGCGGCAGACATTTCACAAGGCATTCAGAAGTGTACTAAAAATGATCTAATAGTATAAAAAGGCAAAGCTACAGGAAAGTGGAATACCACACTGCATGAACAACTGATCAAGAGGGTGCCATGGCATTTTTACTCCTACCTTTTTTATCCCTTTTGAAATTAAATGTTCTAGGTAAAATCCTGATTGATTATCACTTTTATTGATGCTTTGTGGGGGACCAGAGTTTTGCGGTATAAAGTCATATCTGTTATTTCAACCAGATTTGCAGATTCAGTTCCAATGTGTTTTCTGCTACACTCAACAGGTACTCCTCAGCCTGCTTTATATGGAAGAGCTTCTAACTCAGAGGATAAACTGAATGAGTATTAGTGAATGTACTTAGATTTTGGTAGGTGTCATGAAAGAAGGAGGAAAAAGAAATATTACAGAAGAGAAAATCAGGTTTGAAGATGGCCTACTATGAAGGCAAAGAAGGTAAGCAAATTAGGCAATACAAAAATGCATAAGATGTATTTAGATTTATAAGGGGGAAAAAGACAGAAACAATCCCAGTACAATGTGGCATCAAACAGGACTGAAGGCAATGGAAAACAAGAAAAACCAATTATAAAACCAACCTCCAATGGTGCAAAGCCAGAATATACAGGGATTATACTTAGAGAGACAGTGAGAGTAAATAAATAAATATGCCCTGGATTTATGGAGATTGTTAGATGCGCCCCTACATCTCTGATGTCTTCAATGTTACTTTCAATCATGATCGTAGTACTTTATACATGCAATCAGGAAAGAATGCTACAACCATGGACTTAAAAAAACCCCCAAAACAACACACAAACATAACAATGTAGAAGGCAAAACCCTTAAAGCATAGCATGTGGCATGATGAGCTTTAGATACAATCTCAGCAAATCAAACATTTAAGTGGGATTTTCTAAGAAACTGAATAATAAGTAATTTAGTCTAGTGGTCAGTGATGGGTGCTGAAGACAATTTCTGAAAGAGGAAGTTGTTGCAGATATCCAAGTGATAATGCCATTTAGGAGAAGCCTTATCAGTAAACTGCTGCAGAGGATCAGAGTGGCTCTTCCAGAACAGAACAACAAAAAGTTGCAGAGTAGAATGAGAATTTGTACACGCTCCTAATTGTTAATCCAGTTACTGAGTTATCTGTGGTGTCAATTAGAGGAGGATACTGGAGTATTAAAGCACTCTGAAAATGTTCCAGTTATAGATGTATGTATAGTTTTACAGTTTTTGGTTCCTAAATTCTTTATCAGGCTTCATTGCAATAGTTTTGATGACAGACTCCAAGGAATTTACACTAACCTGAAAAAATTAAAGTGCAATCAAGCAATGGGCTACCTTCTCTAAACATATTTTTGCTAGATCAAAATATAGAAATCACAGAAGACATTTTGAATACTTTGAAACATTCTTCTGGGTTTGGGATCTTACAGGAACATTTGGATCGCAATTTCAAATTTACTTTCACAGGTATAAACTCTTCAGTTTGATTTTTTGTTTGAATGCAATCTGGGTCTTCTCATGCACAACTTTTCTAGAAAACCTAGAAGTGTTTGAAACTTTTCTAGAAAACCTAGAAATGTTTGAAAACCTTCAAACACTTGCAATTTCAAATTTTCTTTCTTAGTATAAACTCTTCAGTTTGATTTTTTGTTTGAATGCAATCTGGGTCTTCTCATGCACAACTTTTCTAGAAAACCTAGAAATGTTTGAAAACCTTCAAACATTTGAAGATTTGTGACGAAATACTGAGATCTGGCAAAAGGTAATGAGGAGAAAATGTATATTTTGTAACAGCCACGTATTTTGTACTCTGACGTGCCAGCTTACAGAGAAGCACGGAGACACTTAGTCTGTGAAGAAACAGCCCAATTCACTGCAGTAGTTCCTTTGTACGTTCCTCTTTATTATTTTTATGTAGTGTTGGCGTGATATAGTCAACAGGTTGTTTTGTGTGAAGTGACAGCGTAGCCCCGGGCAGCGAGCGATGGGGACCAGGCAGGACCGGGTCCCTCTGAGCGTGTTCCCTGAGGAGAAGGGCCGGCACCAAGCCCGCAAACTCTCTCCCTTCAACAAGTGGGGTCCGGGCTGGGCGGCAGGGAATGCCGATGGCTGAGCATCCCCCGGCGCTGTCCCGTGGCCCGGGCCGGCAGGGAAGGCACCACGGCCGGCACGGAAGGCGCCGCTCCCGCCTCCCGCCGCAGGCGGGGCAGCCTCGCGCCGCCTCAAGGGCCGGCTCGGGCCGGGCAGCTGAGGGCAAAAACTTCAGCGGCGCGCACGGCGCATGCGCTTCCTGCCGGCGCGTGCGCGGTAGCGGAGGGGGACGCGGAGCGGAGCCCGGCACTCGGCAACGCTCGGCGGTTTCCGTGCAGGCCAGGCCGCCATTTTCTCTCAGCCTCCCGTGCGCGGCTCCTGTCCCGCTGCCCGCGCTCTGTCCTGCTCGGCGATGGACGGGTGAGTGGGCCCCGGGGCGCTGGGAGCCAGCGCGCTGCCGCGCCTCGTGCCGCCGGTCCGTGGTGGCACCCGTCCCGGCGCCGGGCGCTCGCTGGCTGTTGGCGGGCGGCTCCGAGGGTGTGGGTAGCGATGAGCTTCCCGCCGCGGGACAGCTGAAGCCCGAGGCCCCGCACGGGCTGGGAGCGGGGCAGGACGGGCTCAGCCTCTCCTTAGCGCGGGCCCCTCTGTAGGGTCCCCCGTTCAAATCGCCCAGGGCCTCGGGCTGCCCCCCACTTAAGTGTAGTGCCCGAGACGCCGTGGGGAAGGGGCAGCCCTCGTCTTGCCCCCCAGAGCCTCTCGCTCCCTGCTCCCCCCCTTTGGCATCGCTCCTCTGGCCAGGGGCTGAGGAGGGGCGCCTTGCAGGCTCGGGTTTGTTTTGGAGCTGGCTGGAGGGGAGGAGCGATGCCAGCAGGAGCCAGATGTCGAGCTCTTTTGTTTTCAGAAACTGCCTAATAAGCCCTTCGGCTTCCCCCCCTCGCCAGGTGGAGAGATGCCTTTGTATATACAGTGGACTGGCTGTACAAACCAAAGAAGGGAAGGCTGGAAGCAGTCGGCAGCATGGGACAGAGGGCTGGGATGGGCAGGCACTACATGCCAGGCCTGCTTTTTGTTGCACCTGGGAAGCAGGCTGCTGGATGTGGCCTTCGTCAGTGTAAACACAACAGCTTTCAGCTTCCAGATCTCCTGTTAGCTTGGTTACTCTGCTGCAAACAGTAAAGCCATCTCTTTGGTATGCTTTAAGCATATAACCTTTCAACTGTGAGAGTTCCCAAGGCTTTTTATGGTTGTGGTTATATAGCAGGAGTTACAAATCCTGTCTGACAACTAAAATGAGTACTACATTGTGGAATGCTCTCCCATATTCTTTTTCGTGTGTATGTTTGTGGACTGAGGTTTCTTTTAGGATTGTGGTATACACTGTGAGTGGTGATGTCACAGCCTCTAAGGAAAAGATGTACCTTGACATACCTGTTGCAGTGTTTTTCACAGGTGTACCTCATTAAATTTCATATAGTTGTAGCTGCCAATGCATTGGGGGTTTTTTCCAAGCTGATCAAAAAAAATATATTGCTTTCTGCTGTTCAAAGAGTAGGTCAAACAAAGGTTCAACTATGAGGTGTGTGAGAAGTTTTGTACTTACTTTTAAATTACTCTATTTCCACCCTGTAATCTCATGTAGTCCAGAAACCCGGGTTTTCTAAGTAAATTTCCTGGCGGTGCTGCTTTGGAGTAACATTTACTTGAAACTTTGTACTCTTTGGAAAGGCCTGTAAACTGTGGGAGCTCAGTGGCTTTTTAAAGTTTCTTTTGTATTTCAGTCCAATGTGTTTTTGAACATAGTTTCTTTCTCAGAAAACTTGTTGCCTGTTTGTTTCCTCACAATTTTGTCATTACAATACATTGAAAAGTTGGGTTTTGGGGATAAATTGCTTGACTTATGTTCTTGTTTTTTTCTTTTTTTGCAGCATTGTCACTGATGTTGCCGTTGGTGTGAAGGTAGGATGTACACTTAGCAAATAAGGGGTAGTGTGCTAATACAAAATGAACTACTTTGAGCATCAGTAATTGCATGTTGGGATATTTTAACTGGTCATTGTGAGCTGATATCTAGTCAGCCGTGTATGCTTTATTAAACAAAAATCCCTAGAGGTGAATTGGAGCCTCTACACAAAAGACTTTTCTAGGCACTGAACTGTAAACAGTGGCTCTGGACTAATGTAGTGTTGTCAGCTTCTTACTTTAAAACTTGATTTATCATATTTTTTTTCAAAACAACACTCCTGCATTGTTGCATGGGGCCTGTAAAAGTCATACTTTCTCTGTCCCTCCCCCTCGTTTGTTCAGAACAGTTCCCACTGAAGTTAAAAAAGAAGTGACTGTCTGTAAAGAGGACAGAAAAATGGGAGCTAGAATTTGTTTTGTAGACACAGAAGTGGGTGTTTGCTTTGCTGTAGCTTTTATTTCTCAAGTTCAGTTATGAATTTAACATACTTTTATAACAAGGAGAGGGCCTCCAAATAGCTGTTAATTTAGTATTTATTTTGCTTTTTTTTATTCAAATCTATCACAGGAATTAGATCAGTGCTCCGTAGTAGCAGAGTGAGAAATAATGTTTATGCAAAGGGATATGGGACAAGAGAACTCCAATGAATGTGTGAGAGCAATTCTATTTCAGTGGTAGAAGCAGAAGTTTTTTAGTGCATACAGTTAACTCTTCACATCTGCTCAGGGACTTTGCAGCTTGTGCTATGTACCTGCCTTTGCACCTGAAGCTGATCAGTGTTAACTGCTTGCTAAGCCCAGCTTTGTCTAGTAAGGCCCAGTTGCTCAGATTCAGTATTGGTCCTGCTGGATTTGGACTAGTTCTTATACAATACAGCCAGCCTGTAGATACAGCAGCTGTTCTGTTAGATCTACCTGTATAAAGTTTCTGGGTAAGCTTGCTTCTAGGAAGAGCTGTGAGAAGTCAGTTCCATGGATTCTGGACCCATCCAGCTCCATGTGTTCGTGCAGTGTTGGAGACAGGCTTAGACTCACTCTCTGAATCGTGAGAAAAGTGCAGTTATTAAGGTACTTCCGTGGGAGCTAATCACAATAGAAATGCTGACATGATTATTTCTCTGATGCCTGGGAGGACAAAGTGTTAACTGATTCAAACTTGGCAATGTATTTAGTAGTTTGGAGGGATACCTGAGGATGTTCTAAGTCTTTCAGGAGCAAACTGTGCTCCATGTACACGGCTTCAGGGCAAAAAATAGAAAATCAATTATTACCCTTAGTAATTTTTCTTCTTTCTAGCGTAGAAGTAGTTTCAGGTAGGCCATGTATTACTTGGATCTTAAATTCTAACATTTCTCACTTCAGGAGAAGTAAATGGATTCAGTATCCCTTTTACTCTTTACTATGAGCAACTTCAATCTGAGAATTTGAGTGGTATGTTCTAAGTGGGTAGTGCCATTTTGGAACCAAATTTTAAGATACTAGCCAGACAGTGAAATAAAAATGCTTCAGATGATGTAACTCCTTTCTTCTGTTGATTGTAGAAGTTACATTATGAATGTAAGAAAGAAAGCAAGACAGGTGTATTGGAGACAGTGATTAAAAGCTACAAGGAAAAGCTCAGAAGGATCAAAAAGTTGTGCTTTTTGTTTGTAAAAATGGACTTGCTGTCTGGTTTCTGAAAGAAAACAGTCTGTGCATAGAAGCAGTGCAAATAAATAAGGATTATGATTTCCTGAAGAAAGCTGTTAAATATGGGAGGAACAAACTGGATTTTATTCTGGAGCTTCTCTAATTATCTCAAGATACTGCTAAGAAGGGAAAATGGGATTTCTGTCTAATTGAGACATACAGTGTGCATAGTGATGTCATGCCAGCTTCACTCAGGTTTTGTGGAAGGACAAGTGAAACACTTGTCCTTATGGTGACTATTCATTGCTCTTGATGGACTGATGTTTTCAAGTTGAGGAATGCTTTGCCAGTGTATATAAACAACTGGGATCAGTCATCTGGCCTTCTCTTGGAAGTTTTCTTTTTCATGGGGAGCTGTGGGAATGTGTAAGAAGTAAGTTTTGAATCCAAGGAGTTGCATTAGCAGTTTTAATGCTCTTCCAACACTGCTTTTATTGTGACTGGATAGTCATGGTATGTGGGCAGGGATTTACCTGTGAAAAGTTACCTTATTCAGGATATTTGATGCTTTCTGAGATTTTTCATTTAGAGTGTATATGCTAATCACTTGCAAAACATGTTTGTGATATATTCAATTATACTTGGAGAAAGGGATGGTGATATGTGAGTCTTCTGTTTGGAAAATTTGCTTTATTTTATCATCATCAGTCATGTCAATACAAATTTAAAAGTTGTGTTAACTGTTATCTGGCTGGGTGTTCTCTTAAACAGCAAAGCACACATGTTATATTTTTAAACCCATTAGTAAAAGAGTAAGAGAAGTTAATTACTGTAGTCTGGGTATTGCCTTTGAATTAAAGGAGGGCTTTGTAGCTTAGGGGACTGCATGTGGTCAAGGCAAGTATAAAGCAAAAGGAATGCTTTCTTATAATGCTTTATTAACAGTTTTATAATTGGAGTTATCTACAAATGAGGGATACATTTGAAACTGTTACCATTTATTTGTATTGTATACTTGATTTAAATTAAAACATTTTTGTTCATTTGAGGTTCAGTCTTCATTTAATTTACATGTTGAGTCACTAGAAACCAATACAAAACATAAAACTTAAAATGGAGATGGCAAAAGTGATGAATACAACTTGAGAACTTGGTTTACAGAGTAAATATGGGGATTTGTGCAACTCAGAATATGCAGTGGGAACACGCTTCCTAGCTCAAATCTGTCAGAGGAGCAGCATGCTTTAATTTCTGAAACCATTAGAATATGTCACAACCCAGTCATCTTGTAAATACAAATGAAATAACTCATACTTGGTTTGGTCTGTAATGTCTTGTTTTGCTTACCTAGAATTCATGGAGGCAGGGAAATGTCACTGCACACAGTTCAGCCCTTACATTACATTTTGCAAAATAATGCAAGAAGGGATGAGCTTTAGCTCTCTGTCTGATGCTGATTTGTGCACTTGCATTGTATATATGCAGTTTGTGCAAAGTATACTTGCACAAATAAATGAGAGTTAAGGATTCCAGTAATGGTAATGTTTACATAGTTCATCAATTTCAAAAAAAGTCAGTTCCCTGGAGAAATTCTATACATTTTGTAGATTTCTTTGTGCATCATTTCAAAAAATTATCATATTATATGAAGTGTTTGCTTTTTCTTTTTTAAAAAAGTCTATTGGAGTTGCTCTGTTCTTATTACATCAGGTCCTTAGTTACTCTCTGGTTATACAGTTTTGAGCATCAGCATCTAATAACTGTACTTTGAATTGTTCTCTTGTGTTCTCTTTACATTACAGTGCTTTACTCTTGAGAACTGATACTTGGTGTGGTAGAGCCTTTTTCAGCTATTGGATATATGAAATATATAATGTATCTTTCCTGTGGAGTAATTAAAAGAATCTTTGGAGGGATATGAAAACATGGTATAAGGAATGTATGTCACACAAGTGTAGGGAATAACTTAGGTGAACTTTGGGTGCATATTGAGGGTGAACTCTCCTACTGTGTTTCAGTGTGTGCCACTTCAGTCTAATGGATGATGTTTCTCCTGCATGGGAGGGAAGCTGTGCAGTAAATTGGGTCTGAACAATTGAGTGACTCATTCTGTGTATGTGCATTGCATGTTTCACAATGGCTGAGGTGTTCTTCTATCTGACAGGAGAAGAGAACCAGTCATTTCTTCCTGGATGCATTATTTGATACACAGCATTTGGGAAATTTTTTACCTTCTTGACAGTGCTATAGATACTGGCTAAAAACCAAGCTTCAGCTGCCAAGCATGGACAGCCCCAGTTAGAGCTAGGAGAGAAAACTCCCTTTAAAGAGAGTTTTGTAATGTTTAAAGATGTGGGGTGGCCTTCTTCCCCCCAGGGTCAGGGCTTCAGCCGTTGCAGTGCGCTTAAGACATGAGGGAATTGGTGGTGTGTATTTAGTTGTTATGTTTGGGATGGGTAGAAGATGCTAAGAAACGTGTCCTCGTACTTTCTGAGTTTTCCAAACAGGAAGGTATCACCTAGTTCCCCTTCTTCCTGGTTGCTGAAACTTGACATGGAGGAATATAGTAGTATGGGGAAGGACAGTAGCTAAGAACTGACAGAGACACGAACTGATGGAGGAGGTTGAGAGAGCATGAAGTAGCAGTTTGTAAGTACTCTTGAATGGTGTCCACTTTGTTTATTTAACTCATGTTCTGAGGAGTAGTCTTCTCTTACAAAATTATACTCTGAACCTTTATTGCTAGTAATAACTGAGAATTTTTTCATGGTGGAAACAAGTAGATACTGTAGATGTGCTGTGACTTTTTGTTTCAACTGTACATGGCATAATGAAAATAGGATTGAAAGTCAGATTCTAGCAAGTTGTCAGAAGATAAACTCCCACTTCTAAAATTTAGTCTAAACTTATTTCACAAGCCTGTTCCTTTCAGTTTTGTACTCTCTCCAATTTTTTTGCCTTCACTGTTGTGATTTGACTACTTAACAAGAAGGGAGTGGTAAGATAAAAAACTGGTTTATTCATACAGACAAATGCCATGTGATAGTCTGTTATATTTAAAATGTTAGGATTAGAGTTTTGGGCTAACCTTGCATGTCTGGTAGACTAGACAAAGACACAGTGATATGAGAAAAATGGGTTGTTTGTGAATTAGAGGTGTTTTACTCTTGTGTTAGCTGAGATAATGTTTTTAGACAACCTTTGTTTTCAGTAATACTTAGTTGTGCTAGCAGTGGTAAACAGCAAAAAAGATGTGTGGAGCATTATAGCAGTGAAGTAAGGCTGAAGTCTGATCATGTTCGAAAGTTTAGAACTGGCATCTGGATTTGTCTTTCCAGCAATGGTATGGGGAACATGTCCATAGT